AACTCCGATTGGATTGAAACTTTCGCCCAGATTTTTCTCCGAAAATTAGCTTCTTGCAGCAAAAGAAGAGCATCAACCGACTTACAGGGTTCCCACGAGGATCAGGGGTGCGCCCCTTGCCTCGTGGCCCCCTTGGGCGCCATCTCGCATTGGTTTTTCTTCCCAAAAATCATAAATATTCCAAAAATGATCTCCGTCCATTTTTATCCCGTTTGGACTCCGTTTGATATGGGATTTCTGCGAAACCTAAAACATGCAAAAAACAGGAACTGGCACTGGGCACTAGATCAATATGTTAGTCCCAAAAATAGTATAAAAAGTTGCCAAAAGTATATGAAAGTTGAATAATATTGGCATGGAACAATAAAAAATTATAGATACAACGGAGACGTATCAGAGTCGACACTGTCGAGTGGTATGCTTGGGGAGAATCAGATTCCCCTCCTCATCTTTTTTGGTATGTATATGACATGGCAAATCCATCACATCATTTCCTGCTTGATCCTTCACTTTTTTAGGGATCCAGGGCCCTTTAGGCTTCCCCTTGAACTTTCCTTGGTTCAGAACTGCTGCCTCAGCCTTTCGCTTCTACTTCCGACTGGAATTTCCTCCTCCGGTGTCCTGGGTCACTGGTCTGTTCTTGCTACTCCGGAGTCAGTCCTCTTCTTCGCCGTTAGCATACTTAGTGGCAATTCCATCATCCGAGCCAGAGACATGTCTCCGGTCCGACCGAACTTCAGATTGAGATCTCTGTAGCGAACACCTTCTTTAAAGGCACAGACTGCTTGGTGACCAGATACATTCTCCACTGTGTGATGCAAAGTGATCCATCTTTGAATATAATCCCTCAAGGTCTCATTCTGTTTCTGTATGCAATGCTGCAATTCTGGCAAACCAACAGGTCTCTTGCAGGTGCCCTCAAATGTTCTGGTAAACATTCGGGCCAATTCATCCCAACTCAAAATGCTTCCAGGGGCCAACTGATTCAGCCAGGCCCTGGCAGAACCTTCAAGCATCAGAGGGAGGTGCTTCATGGCCACCTCATCGCTGCTGCCACCAATGTGCACAGCCACTCGGTAGTCTTCGAGCCAAGTGTTGGGCTTTTATTCTCCTGTGAACTTACTGACACTAGTCACCAATCTGAAGTTGTGATGGATCTCAGCGGCTCTGATGGCTCTACCGAAACACTCAAGGCCAGAAACGTGGACCCTGCTTCCGCTGGGACTGTCTCTATCCAGCCCCTCTCTGTATGCCCTGTTCCGGTCGACCAAACCCTGAACAAGGAATGACCTTGCGTTGAAGCCAGGCTCTCTTAGGTCGACTGGAACTCAGCTGTCATTACCATACGGACGCCTGTCATCATACCGCCGGGGCGCGTACGACCCGTCCCTCGGAAGGGGCGAAGGCGCTCGACGGTGGTTGTTGCGGGCGTACTCATGATCATACTCTCCATGAGCTCTTCCCAGGTGCCGATCTTGGCGGTGATCACGATCTTCACGTCGCAAAGGAGACCCAAGACTGTGTGCCAACTGAACAGTATCTGCCCTTACCGATCTGTTGTGGATCCTGCTCCGCGACTAAGAAACGGCGGAGTTCAGGTCTCCTGCTGCTCGGAGCAGCGTTCTGATATGTTCCAAACCTCTTCTAGCTTCTGAATGGGACGACTGAATAGACTATGCGATACGCGCAGCAGCTGCAAGATTCTGGATCGGAGTGCAGAATACCTGAGTTTACGGTGGAAACAACTGTCGTGGATGTCGACTGGATTCGGGTATCAGTCGACGAGCACGCTCATCGAGAGAATGTTGGAGATTCTCCAAACGAGTGCGCTCAGCCAGCATGGCCAGGTGCATTGCCTCCAAGGCCCGAGCCTCGGCGGTCTCCCCTATGATGGGGGTCTGGAGGGCCTCCATGTTGCGGCAGTGCATCTCTTCCCTCTACTGCGAGTTGAGAGGTTGAGGTTGGTACTCTTTGTGGCCGAACGATGGGCCATCATCGTCACCATCGCCGCCGCTGCGGCGAAACCCAGGTGGGCTACGACGGGTATCGACCATGAGAACTTCTGCCGCGGAGTCACAGCTCCCGCTCTCGGAAAACATTTCTGCAGAATCAATCGACAGGTCGACTGAACCGCATCGAAACTCGACGGGCTCAATTGCCGCGACTTGGGGGGTGGCCGTTTGACGAGCCACCACATGCTTCACCCACCGCTGGAGTCGCGACCGACCAGATCGCTTGCGACGGCGTCCAGTGGAGTGAGAAGGTGACGTGAGGGCCGACCGATATGGAGTCGACGGTTGCTGAAGGAGGACACTGCAGGCACTCGCGCGAAAGTGCGACGAAGCACAGATCAGGAGAGCCTCGACGTCGAGGGGGGCTTCCGGGAGCCAGGCGGAGTCGTCGGCGACGAAAGTGAGCGCGCCGAGTCGGAACTCGCGGCCCATGACCAAACCGCCACCGAAAACCTTGACCAAACCACAAGGACGGAAGGCGCGCCCAGGGGGTAGGGCGCGCCCCCCACCCTTGTGGGCCCCTTGTGCACCTTCTAACCTAATTCTTTTGCCTATATATTCCCATATATCCCCAAACCAATAGAGGCATCCATGAAAACACTTTTTCGCCGCCGCAACCTTCTGTACCCGTGAGATCCCATCCAGGGGTCTTTTCCGGCGTCCTACCGGAGGGGGATTCGATCATGGAGGGCTTCTACATCAACACCATTGCCCTGCAAATGAAGCATGAGTAGTTTATCACAGGCCTACGAGTTCATAGCTAGTAGCTAGATGGCTTCTTCTCTCTCTCTCTCTTTGATTCTCAATACCATGTTCTCCTCGATGTTCCTGGAGATCTATTTGATGTAATACATTTTTGCGGTGTGTTTAGCGAGATCCAATGATTTATGGATTTATGATCAGCTTATGTATGAATATTATTCGAATCTTCTCTGAATTCGTATATGCATGATTTGATATCTTTGTAATTCTCTTCGAACTATCGGTTTGGTTTGGCCAACTAGATTGGTTTTTCTTGCAATGGGAGAAGTGCTTAGCTTTGGGTTCAATCTTGCGGTGTCCTTTCCGAGTGACAGTAGGGGCAGCAAGGCACGTATTGTATTGTTGCCATCGAGGATAAAAAGATGGGTTTTTCATCATATTGCTTGAGTTAATTCCTCTACATCATGTCATCTTACTTAGTGCGTTACTCCGTTCTTTATGAACTTAATACTCTAGACGCATGTTGGATAGCGGTCGATGTGTGGAGTAATAGTAGTAGATGTAGAATCGTTTCGGTCTACTTGACACGGACGTGATGCCTATATTCATGATCATTACCTTGGATATCGTCATAATTATGCACTTTTCTATTAATTGCTCGAAAGTAATTTGTTCATCCAACGTATCATTTGCTATCTTGAGAGAAGCCTCTAGTGAAACCTATGGCCCCGGGTCTATTTTTCATCATACAAGTTTCCGATCTACAATCTTAGTTTCTGATCTACTATTCTTGCAATCTTTTACTTTCTGATCTATAAACCAAAAATACCAAAACTGTTTACTTTATCGTTTATCTATCTCTATCAAATCTCAATTTTGCAAATAACCGTGAAGGGATTGACAACCCCTTTATTGCGTTGGGTGCAAGTTTATTTGATTGTTTGTGCAGGTATTCAGTGATTTGTGCGTTGTATCCTACTGGATTGATACCTTGGTTCTCAAACTAAGGGAAATACTTATCTCTACTTTACCGCATCATCCTTTCCTCTTCAAGAAAAAATCAACACAAGCTCAAGAAGTAGCAGCTCTCACAGGAATCCCCCAAAAACAGGTATAGAGTGATATAATACCGTCTGTTCTTGAATGTTACAAGTACCAATCAACATGGCTCTCTCACAATGTAAAAATAATGATGCTCACATATAGCAGAAATCCATCCATTGATCACTCTCCACATCATATTCAACTCATGAACATGTAACATGTTAAGTTTCTTTTGTGTGAGTAAAACGTTTAGTACGTCAAGTTTATTTTTGTGAGAACAAAGTATAATGTTGCTCTTTATCGGCGGAGGCTGTTGTTCTGCTATGCTGGTTCTGTAGGACCTTAGCATAACAACTTCTCGATTGTCTATTACGACAAGTTTTGCCCGATTCTAGCAAGGAAGGGGCGATGACGGCGGCGCGCCTTCCGCTCGCTTCAATGCTTGTAGTCATCGCTAGGTGGTCTATGTATCTGGATGTAATTTTTATTATTTCTGGTGCTCATTGTACTGCCAAGATTGAAGATGAATAGAAGGAAGTTTTCTCGCAAAAAAAGTATAACACGTTTTTTTAAGTTCTTTCATGTTGAGGGAAGTATAATACGTTAAGTATTTTTTGATAGAAGTATAATGTGTTATTTTTTTTAATTGTTTGGATTGCTTATCACATGTGTCACGTGGTAAGTTTTTGTTCTTTTTGAGAATCGTGTAATGCGTTAAGTTTTTTTTTTGAGCATCAGTACAGACACAAGCGCTCATATACACGTGCATACATTCATCCCTATGAACGCACACACACACACCCTACCCCTATGAGCAGAGACTGAGCCGGCATATCATCTTGAGATTTACGAAGCCACCGTAGGCACCTTGTCGTCGACGGGAACGTCTCCTCCCACTGAAAGCGCATCGCCAAAAATCCTGAAATAAATCCAAAAATAATGCGAGCACCAGAATTTAAACCCTGATGGGTTGGGGATACCACTGTCCACCTAACCAACTAAATCACAGGTTGATTCGCAAGTTTTTGTTTTGTTTTGAGGAGTGTATAATGTGTTGAGTTTTTTTTTTTTGGCGTTAAGTGGAACGCAGACACTCTAACCGCGCAGGTGGCCTTGGGAGCTCGAGCCCACGACGATAGGTTCAGCCTAGAAAAGCCCCATTAGCCGACGCGATAATCCTTATGGGTCTTGCTCTACGGCCCACCGCAGTATCAAGCACTCCCGCCTGGTCCGGCGTCTGCAATGGCAAGAGCAGCGGCGGCGGAGGCCTTTTCGCGGCGCCTGGGCGCGGCCGTGCGCGGCCTCTCCGGCGCCTGGTACAACCGTCATATGGCCGCCGCCGACCGCGCCATCCGCGCCCGACTCCCCCTTGTCGACCTCGTCCTCGAGGTCCGCGACGCCCGCGTAAGTTCGCCGCCACCGCCACCGTCCTTCTTGTTCCCCTCTCCACCTTTCAGACGAGACGGGATTCGGCTAACAACTCACAAGCTCGTGGATTCTCCCTCTCCCTCGCAGGTACCCGCCACCTCGGCGTTCGAGCTTCTCCACCGCCGCTCCCCGGAGGAGCCCGACGTGCGTCGGCTCGTTGCGCTCAACAAGGCCGACCTGGCTGATCCGTCCGAAACCGAGGTAACGAATTCACGAACCCCGCACTCCGCACGGGCGAGATTTCAACTGCTTGGCGCCCTGCAGATATGTTTAGTTCTGACATACGCAAGTTGTCTTTTGACTGTCTGATTTATCGCCGTTGCTGCTCCAGAAGTGGGTGGCGTTCATGAAGCAAAGGGGCTGCTCGTGCATCGCGGTCAATTCACACTGCAGGGAAAGCATCAATGAGGTAGTTAGAAGTTAGAAACGTGCTTGTGTCATCTCAAGTGCATTCTAAGTGCATCGGAATTCGTGATTATTATTTGATTCCTGTATCTAATTGGGGCTCATTTCAACTCTAATGTAGCTGTTGAATGCTGTGCGTGGGAGGATCAGGGAGGTCAAGCTTGGGGTGAGCGACTGCACAGGGACTGTTCTCTTGGTCGGTATCCCTAATGTTGGCAAGTCGGCCATCATCAATGCGATGCATCAAATTGGAAGGATTGGGGCAGCAGGTGATGCAGTTTACTTGTTGCCTTTCTGTTCGTAATAGCTTTTTGATGCACCTTATTTTTCCTATTACTATGGTTGCTTTGATTGTGATTTGGATGCTGGGTGACAATGGCTGGGTTGTCTTTCAGAGAAGGGAAAGCTCAAGCATGCTATTGTCAGCAGCCATCCAGGAGAAACCAGAGATATAAGTGGCTACAAGGTATTTTGAGTGATTTAATACCTTGTGTTGTACAGTCGGATGAAGGAAAATGATTTTTGGTCTTCTAAGAACATGCGGTAGTACTTTATCTCACCAACAGAAAATGAATTACCTGAATCATTTGGAAAACCCTCTTATTTAACAGTCGAGTACAATGTAAGCATCATATGGGTTACTTCTGTTCACATTGACCAATAATCTGACAATATCTTTACACAACTGCAACAGCACTCAAGCATGCTGATTGTAGAAATAGCTGCAGTGCCTGTCTTTTGCACCTTCTTGTGTCTGCTACCATCAATATCCCATGGCTCAGGAACTATTTCTATGATTGTAATGTGTCATTTAAATCTTAACAACAGGAAGTTTCTGGTTTTCAGGTTGCTAGTCATCCAAATATATATGTGTTAGACACTCCTGGTGTTCTATCTCCTATATTTGCTAATGATGAATATGGTCCCAGGCTAGTTTTGACAGGTAAAGACTCCTACGAAGTTTAGGGTTTCACTTGTCATTATATATTATTATTTGACGCATGCACCTCTATTTCAGGAGCAATTAAGGATTCCTTGTTAGAGGAGTATGAGATTGCACAATTCCTTCTTACAATTCTTAACTTAAGGAAGGAATGCAGGGAGTGGGAGAACCTGAATCTAGATGGAGATAAATCTTCTTTTGCTGATGCAGTTCCCACCAGGAGTTGCCATACTAAAAGGCAGTATTCCTCAGATCATACCCAGGTAAATATCGATGAGTATTTTAGGTTATTACATCCTAATATATATTGCAGTTTCTTACTATTAATGCTAGAAAATGGATATGTTTCTCATTATATAACGATTTTTAAGCGCATCAAATTCTTGGTTCTGACATGCATACTATTAGGTAGCTGCCGTGGTTTAATTGCTTCCCTTTATTTGTGTGCAGGATTTTATCGTTAGAGCCGTTCGTCAAGGGCTTTCTGAGACCATAGCATCTTTTCAGGGAGATTTAGGAAATGAGAATGATTTAAGAAGATTGGTAGAAATCCAGTTTACACACTTGCAGAATGCTTTCAGGATTTCTGCTGAAACAATTGAGGATAGGAATAAACGTGTCGCTGTCAAATTACTCAATCTCTATCGCACAGGAAGGCTTGGCCATTATACCTTAGACCATGTTCCAGATGTTAGGCAGGAAGTAGCTGCATAATCATCCAATGTGGAACACGGGTCAGAGAAGGATATATGTGGATACAAATCATTACTTAGTCTGGAAAACAGGTGAATTACTATTCACTTAATAGATTAAACATCCTTCCAAGTCTGATCTCTTGGACATCTGCAAACGACTCATTGATAGGCGGAGAATATTTAATAACACCTAAATGTATGTCATGCTAACAGTAGTTATTGAGATCACACCCCTCATCCTTTTCGAACCAAAGAATAAATACATATTATTTTCAGAGTGATCTATACACTGCTGCTTTGATCTACCCATGAGTGTTTATTCAGCTGCAGGAGAAACTGTGTGGCTGCCTAATCGCACACCATCATTGTTTCTCTTCTCCTCCTTGCAAGTGATATCAATGGTCAGATGGTCATGGCGAGTGAACTCCTTAAAATTTGCAGCCCTTTCCAGTTCCTTTACTTCCTCAATAACCAGCTCCAGTCGTACTACCATTTCTACCAGTAACGAAGCAAAAGCAGCGAATGGAAGTGCTTCAGAGAACTCAAGGCTCGTGATAGCTATCTTACTTAGCGTCCGCCCTAATGTGCTCCTCTCACTGCGTTCTGATGATTGATCTGCTTTTGTGTTCTTCCTTTCTAATATTGAGGCTGTATCAGTCTTGAATGAGGGCAGAGCAGTTCTTGAGGCGGCATGCTTGCTTGAATTCAGTTCCATTAGCATACGACTATTGGCAGATCCATGTTTTGAGGCGAGAAATAGCCGTGGTTGTGACCTTATTGCTGAGTTTAGATCCTGTAGTGCTTCATGAAGATGATCGCACAGCACATCAGGGGCACAACGATGGTGATTTCTTATGCTGTCTGCAAGCTCCTGTAGAACCTTGGTCACCTCTCGTGCAACTCTAGTGCATGGGGTTCGGAATAGTGATCTGACGGATGTCGGAGTCTTCAACATCGATAAATATAACTTTGTGAGCACATGTTATTTACAGAAAGATGGTTTTGCTTGAAATAATACTGATATGTCAGATAAATCTGGAAAAGCATGTTATATCACAAGTTTTTTGCAGTACCTGAATTTCTGATTCGAGGCATCCATGAAGTGCAGTGACAGTATATGCGAAGTGTCTAAGCACAGATCCAAGCTTTACATACTTTTGCCATGGGTAACTGTAACACTGCATTGAGTGTCTTGGTTCCCAGCTTGCATAGTGTGCCTGGCCAATTGTTATTATTGAGGGCATATACTTTTTGAAATAAGAGACATCCATGACATCAATCTGATAAAAAACATTTGCACAGAGAAAAGGATAAGAATATTGAAGCATCAAACGGTGATTTACTTACCAGGGACTCATCACTTGATTTTGAGTCTAGTACTTCTCTATACCCAGTATGAATGGAAGCTCTTGACGTCTGCTTATCAAGAATATTATCATGCTTCTCTTGATCTCGAAAATACTCATCCACACAGCCTGCAATTTTTCTTTGGTAAGATACTACGGAGTTCTGATATTTTGTTACATTTAAAGATTAAGCTATTAGTAGATAATACTCCCTCTGTAAAATAATATAAGAGCGTTTAAATTACTAAAGTAGTGATCTAAACGCTCTTATATTAGTTTACGGAGGGAGTACTAGTTAGTATGTTAGCATCATATATGTGATGATACCCACCTTCAACTGATCTTGCCAATCCTTCAAATTTGCGCACAGTGCAGCTGTGGAGGTCCTCTCCCGACCAGTTTGGTAATACGAAGAGGCTCATAAAGAGGCATATGGCACACCCTATGGCAATTGTACTCAAGCGATCTCGTGCTAAAGGCAGTATGTTCTCTTGGCGGAAGCTTGAGACCGTTATCAGATTGAAGGTTAGCAAAAAAATCACCACTCCATAATCATAGTTCTTCTTAATGGTTGGGAAGAATCTCAAATACGTTGCCATGAATCCTGTCATTGAAAATGCTACGGCATAAGATACTATCAATTAGGCCATCCTGAATTCCAACTTTACACGGTGCATACCTATCAGAAATACTGAAGATGCCACGAAAAAACCACGGAAAACTTTTCCAGATCTTACTGCTACAAGTTCAATGATAAATGCTAGAGATGCTGCTATGACTGTTCCGAACCCTCTATTCAGACCTTTGCATATGGTTGCACCTGTTGATCAGTACTCACTTGTCAGAAACCGAAGAAGTACATCCACAAATGGCACATATTATAATCAGTATGATGCTAGTAGATTACCTGCGGTAAATTCGAGCACAACAACAACCGTCATGACAGCCCACATTGCATTCTTTCCCACTCCTTTGAACAAGGGTTCTAGTATATACAAGAGCGAGACCAGTGTGAGAGCTGTCCCAACCTTGAGAGCATGAATGGCTCTCCTTTGATCTTCTCTTCCAATACTCCATGCGTACGCCCACCAAGAAGCAGGAATCCTGGTGATCTTCTTCACTCTCTCAGGAAGCATCAGCAAGCTGTTCTTGTTGCTGCTGGGATCTACAGCACAAGCCATTCTTGCAGCCTGGGCTCAAGATGAATGCTCAGGTTCCTTGGAAGATGGCAATGCTACCAACAGTAAGTGATGCTCCTTCCACCATCAGCTCTTTATATAAGGTCTGGGCTTCAATAATGCGTGTAACCTTACACATACTAAATTTCGTGAATTCAACGATGTTGTGAAAAGTGGCTCCGTGTGGTTTCTGGAATGTTGCTATCGTGGATGACTTTAAAAGTAAGTCTGATAGCTGTCTACTGGTTCTTTGCATGTGATGGTAGCAAATAAATTCACCAGCTTGCTACTATCTTTACGTGTTCCTTTTGATATATCTTTGTGAACTCTGGTGTAAACAACCAACAAACTAATCTAGAATATCACCTAACTGCAGTAGCATTTTAGTACATTTTGATACTTGTAGACAAGTTGTTATCCCTATTCTCCTCACAGCAACCACCCCCCGCTCTAGTTTTCTTCAGATTTTCTTCCTATTTGAATTCCCCGCTTCATTTTCCGTCTAGGTGTTCCGAATATCAGGAAGGGAGAGGACGCTAACTTCGTCCCGTTTGTTGAGCAACTCGCCGAGTCACAGGACGATACGCATTTCTCCTTTTCCTGACGCTGATACGTGGTGATGGCGGCCTTGACTTTGCACTGGACCATCGGCTGAATGAGTTCACGTGAAGAGGAAGTTGGGAAAGGCCCCGGGCTCGGCAAGCCGCTCGTGTGCGCGCCTTGATTGGACGACAATGGCCGGCTCGTCCGGTCCCGGTCCGGCTGTGGTGGAGAGCGACATGTGCGGATGGCCGCTTGAGGTTGTAGTGTAGGGCGAAGGTCACGGTTGTCGCCGGGTTCAGATTTGTCGTGCGGCCGCTCTGCCAGCTGCGGTGATTCTCTGCCGTCAGATTTCTTTTTGCCGTCCGGGGGTCGACACCTTGCCAGGCGAGGGCACACCTGTGAACTGGTTGGTGGCTTTGTGTCAAACCTGCACTTGAAATGCACGGCTGGTGCTGGACTTTGGGTTGGTTCGCATTGATCACATCTAATTTAGGGATAATTTTGTTTTTTGTCGCTAAGCCTTCGTATCATTGCATGATTTCTAAAACAAAACTTCTGTACTTTTTTACTAGTGATAGCAACAACTATTTTTTTCTCTTGTTAGATTTTTTTTTGAAACGGAGGCAAAAAAAATTACTTTTTAAGCAGTACTTGCCCAGTTAATTAATTGAAAATCGAGTGAAAACTATCATAAACAAGGGAAAAACGACACCAAGGTGCTACCATCGTTCGATCACACATTATAAGGTTTCCCCTTGGAATTGCACTTGCGATTGGATCTGTGCGAGAGGGGTGTTGCAACGATGCCTTCATGAAGGTCAACGACACTTGCACTTGTTGCCATTGCTGGTCACGACACGTAGCTGAGACAAGGTCTTCACCCAAGCTTTGGACACACCCTTCGCCACACATCAACCGATGTGAATGCCTTCAAGACCACCAACCACCACCATCGAACACGCCCATCGATGAAGAAGCATTGAGATCCACCACAACCAATCTCACCTCACAAAAGGCCAACGACGACCAAGCTCCAACACAAGGTGGCAGATCCATCAATGGTCGACCAAACGTTGGAACACCGGACGGAGCGCGAGCCCCACATCCTATTGAGCACCATGCGGACAAGGAGCCACCATGGTTTCAGACCGTAGCCATACATCAGACGTGCTGATGCGCCCCTGAAAGTGCAACTAATCCCCGGATGATTTTGGTAATTCATACGAACATATAGCTCATTGAACTAATATCCTTTCAAGATAAATATCTTAGAAAGTTCAATGAATGACATGGCATGGACTAGAGACGTGGACCCCTCAAAATGCTAAGGACAAATATTGGCAAAAGCTCAAGACTCTTCATCTTTATTTTAGTGAACCAAGATCACATTGAGTCCATAGAAACACCAAAACTATTAAAAGGGGATGAGGTGTTGCTTAATGGCTTGCTTGCTCAAATGCTTAGTGATATTGCTCCAAAACCCCCAACCACTTTCTCCATCCAAATATGTCCAAAACCTAAACTCCAACTTGGCCCCACTGATTCTTTCTATCCGGCGCCACTGAGTTCATATGACATAGCCACTGTCAGAAACCCTAGCAATTCGGTTTCACCGATACGGGTCTCGGTCTCATCGAGATGGCATTGCCAGCGTTCTGTGACTTGTTGCATTCATTTCGGTCTCACCGAGTATATGCAATCGATCACATCGAGTTGGCTTGACATTCTCTGTGTTGCTTATTGCTTCACTTCGGTCTTATCGAGTTGATGCAATCGGCACCATCGAGATGATGTTTGCCATAAGCCCTAGCACGCAGGTCTCACCGAGTTATTCCAGTCGGTCCCACTGAGATTCCTAACGTTCACATTTTTGAACTAATCGGTGCCACCGAGTTTAATCATTCGGTCTCACCGAGATGGGTCTGGAGCCTATATATACCCCTCCACACCTT